AACAAACAACACAGAACATTGAGGCACGACAATTCTCACATAACCCCATGAAGGACCGAACGTTGACAGTTAAACAGTACAAAAAATAAAGGACATAGGCTGGAGGGCACGGTGGAGGTGGGTGGGCAAACAAACAACACAGAACATTGAGGCACGAAAGACAGTGCAGCAAAAGACATAGGCTTGAGGGCATGGGGAAGGTGGAACAACGCACACCTGGTGAAAGGCATAGGGTAGGCAGCTGGGCAGGCAAACAGCATAAGGAAGCAGGGGAACGATAGCAAGTCAAACAACCACAAGACAAAAACAACAACCAAAAAAAAAAAAAGCTTGTGATAGATTGTTTCGCCGGAGTTGCACCGACTCATCAGGAGGCTGAACCCTCGACAATCTGCGGAATCTCCATATTTGATGGTTTGGGTTATGAACCCTTTGACCCTTGTTGAAGGCAGACTGTCCCCAAGCGGAACATAGCAGCGGGCAGCAACCCTGTGGAGCATCAGGCAACACAGTAGAGGCAACACGGCTGCACAACGCCAAAAAACGACTGCAAGGAATGGCATGGGACGTAGGGCATGCAGCGTGGCAACCGTGTAGTGAAGCACAAGACAACACAAACAAGGCTACAGCACTGCAGGGGACGACAAGGCAAGCAGACGAGCAGGTCGCCAACCGTGGAGCAGAGCACAAGGCACCAGCAACAAGGCAACCAACCTACAGGGCACACAAGCGACAAACACGGAAGGCACGACAGCGGAGCAGCGAAGCGCAAGGCAACACCAACAACACGGCCACACTGCACAGCGAACACATCAACCTGCAAAGAACCACATGCGACGCAAGCAGGACAGGCAGCAGGGCAGCGGCGGAGCGCAGACGAGGGCGTCCACACATCCAACACGGAGCACAGGAGCACATGACCTACTCACATCACGATTGAACCCCACAGACTGTTGGTTCGCACCACCCACTGAGCCAGGGAGTCACTCCAATGAGCATCCGTCATCATCACCCACAGGCAACACAGACATCCCGAACTGAGTGTCCCCTCTAAGATTGCAGTAGGCACTCCAAACGAGGAACCACCGACTGTTTGGCAGTACTTGAGGGTGCTCAGTTGGGTAACAAAAAATACTTAGAAAAAAGATCAGGGGGAGGACAGACAACAATAGGAAAACAGACAAACATAAAACTGATCGTGTGTGTGTGTGTGTGTGCGTGTGTGTGTGTGTGTGTGTGTGTGTGTGTGTGCGTGTCTTGGATTTCCAGCACAACAGCCCTTAATCCACCCAGATGAGTAGAACCAAGATCGAAGCAGATTCAGTCCTATTGAAGACAACAAAGCACACTTGAGATAAGACAATTCCAACAATGAAACAGGTTTATGAAACGGTAATCACCAATTCGCAGTAGCGAATGCAGATCCCAGGGCTCGATCCCTAGTTCCCTGGTTTACCTATGTACAGTATTGATGTCAACC